ATGTTTTATTTTACCATCACCGTGAGTCCGTAGGTGCTGTAGAAGTTCCTCTGTTGATGGTGCAGGGACTACAGACAGCAAACCGTAACGCCTTGGATCCTCAGGCCTTAGCTTGTAGCGTCGAGGAAGACCTATCTTGCTTGTCAAACGTTGGTTGACTATCATGGTTTGGATCTCTGGGATGTAGGAGTAGTCTTTTGCCATCTTCTCAGAATACAGCCTCTAGCATCTTGATTTTTTGTTGAATATTTTACGGTATCTGAAATGACACATACCATAACTTGTAGTAGAGCCCTGCACTGAAGCCCTAGGCCCTCGGGTCGGCCCAGCCCGACGGCCCTCGGGCCGAGCTTCGGGCCAATGACTATGTAATTACCTCGGACACGGGCCGGGCCGGGCTCCTTTATTTTTAATCGAATTCATTTAAAAAAATTGAAACACTTAAACCAGGGGTCGGCAACCTGTTCCCATCAAAGAGCCATTATTACCCGTTTCCCACAGTAAAGAAAACACTGGGAGCCACAGCAGCTGCGGCGTTGTGGGCGGGGCCTACCCTCAGACAGCAGAGCGCTGCTCACAACAGGTGACAGCAGCCAGTACTGGTCGCTCGTGTACGTCAAAGTTATCTTTCATAAAAAGATAATCAATAAAATGATTTATATAAAGTGGATCCAGAAGTTGTAGCCCGTCTCTGCCTACAATATTTTGATATTTTTCACCCTGTTGGTGGTTTTACTGAGCAGGTGCCACTTTTGTCATACGTTTCTTTTTAAAACATGTTTAGACTGTTCAGAATACAAATCCAGGCTCTGTCACGTTTGATTGTTGTAATTAAACTTTGTAGGTGGGGAAGGTCAGAAAAGGATCCGATCATTTTGTTTTTCCCTCATTTACAGTGACGGAGAGAACGGCGCAGTGCGCCTGGCTCTGATGTTAATCAAGTTTCTCTTTGCAACAATTTTCACAAGAAAACAAAACAGTTAAAAGCAGGGCCTGTGCTGACCGGACAGTTCCCGTATTTGACCGTTTATTTTGACGGAGAAAGAATAGAAAGAATTACCCCGACGCATGCAGACGAACTTTTATTCTACGCACATCACAGATGTAGCTAAATCACTCAAGAAATGATTCCCATCTGAACATCTGAGCTGGACACTGCTCAGCGCAGCTCACTGTCAGCGAGGACTACATAAGGTACACAGTGAGCTGAAGATGTGGAGAGGGGCTTGGAGCACGTCGCAGAACCAGAGCGCATGCAGGAAGATTCCTCCGACTGAATTCATTCGGAGGAACCTTCCCGCTGATCTGAATCTGATGCGGCTCTCTGTGCTTGTAAAATAATGAATGGATATTTAAATAAAATGCTTTATATTTTACTGCATTAATTTTATATCTGTGGCTCTGGGGTTAATCAAGTTTAATTGTTTCTCTTTGCAACAATCTTCACAGGAAGGCAAAACAGTTAAATGGCAGGTTTCAGATATTTACATTTGACTTTTATTTTGACGGATAAACTCAAGGATATTGGTTGTTTTGAAAGAATTACCCCGACGCGCACTGATGCACACAGATGAGCTGCTTTAATCGTTACGCACATCGCAGAGGTAACTAAATCCATCAAGAAACGATTCCCATCAGAACATCAGAGCTTTATACTGAACACTGTGTTCAGCGCGGCTCGGAGTGCCCACGGTGGACAGTGGGCTGAAGATCTGCAGAGGGGTTCGCAGCGCAGCGCAGAACCACGGTGCATGCGATAAGATTTCCTCCCACTGAAGCGGTCTGGAAACCCGGTCTCTCTGAGGGATGTGTCACTTGGAAAAATGTTCTTTTTATGAAATTATGAAACTTTGGCTGAACAGCGCTTGTTCCGTCTCTAATATGGAGACGCACGACCATCCAGTCTGAGGCAGAATAGCCTCTTCACCTCAGAAAGCACCTGTAGAGACATTTGATTACGCACAAAGTTTATGTGGAGCAGAAGCGGTCGGGCCACGGCAGGTGAAATGTTCCTAGCCTACATGAAGTGTAACATTAATATGTTACTGGACATGCTGGTTTGGTTGGTTAGACCAGAGTTTGAAGTGGAAAACACACACACACACACACACACACACACACACACACACACACACACACACACACACACACACAATTAAAATAATGCTGATAGTGTGGACTAGAAGCCAGGTGATGGTTCACATCCAGACACAATTATCCTCTATTCTTTCTCTATTTGCTCTGCTCTTGTCTGGGCTTACGTAGCTGATGGTGCGCGCGGCGCTTCTAACTAGCAGCTGATGCACATTTTATGCATTTGGAGAGATGGGCTGGATGCTTTGCTTTTACTGGAAGATGGTCCACTTAACACACGGGTGTAGACTACATATTAATGACAAATGAATGAAAATTAAATTGTGAGTTTTTACTTCATATTTTAGAAATAAAAATGACGGGGAAAACATTTATGACGTCTTTTTAAACGAAATTTTCTAGCGCGACCTGCCTGCTTCACTTAAGTCACTGCTTATTAAGGTCCGTCCAAAATTACCGTGGGAAACGGGTAATAATGGCTCTTTGATGGGAACAGGTTGCCGACCCCTGGAATAAGATCTGAGCTGGTAAAACAAAAATCCTCATCAGCAGGCGTTTTTGAAAGTGGGGGAGGACACAGTTGCCAATCACAAATTTTGCCGGGGACATGTCCCCGGCGTCCCCGGTTAAAATGATGCCTATGTCTGTAAGTCAATTCTATGTTAAGATTGTCTGTGTAAACCTGAACAGACCCAACCCAGTCTTACTGTGAGACCGGGTTGACGAGTCACGCTTGTGCGTAATCATAGGCGTTTCCTGAGCTGAAGAGGATGTGAGATTCTGGGCTTCTCCTCAGACGGCTCCTGGATGCGTTGCCTCATTGGAGACAGGAACAAGCGCTATTCAGCCAAAGTTTCATAATCAGGAAACATTTTCTAAGTGACAAGTCTCTCTGAGAGACAGGGTTTGGAAAACACTCACTTCAGTGGGAGGAACCTTCCCGCATGCGCTCTGGTTCTGCAACGCGCTCCAACCCAATCTCCCTTCTTGAGCCCTCTTCTTGAGGGGGTCTGCTTCAGGCCGACCCAGCCCAACACGCCCACTCTCCCCCGATTGGTCAAGTGATGTGTAACCCCCCCCCATTAATAAAATCTTCTGATTGGCCCTGTGGTGTTATTTGTAGTGATGTCACAGAATCACACCAAACTCAAACTCAATCTTCAGCATCCATTTTTTGATTGTGCTCTCCAGCGTCGACATCATGTCTTCTCCCTGCTCTCAGGGCTCATCTTCTAACCCCTGGAGCAATGAAGAGGTTAAAATCTTCCTCTCTTTGCTCACTGATGAAAGAATCCAGCGCGAACTGGACGGTTCAGTGTGGAATGAAAAGATTTTTCAGGGGATGGCACTGGCAATGTCCACCCACGGCTTTGAAAGCACCTCTAAGCAGTGCCGCAAAAAAAATTAAAAAAAATAAAAGCTGAGTACGGGTCCGTCAAGGACCACCACAGCAGGAGTGGGGCAGACCGGCGGCACTGGAAGTGGTTTGCCGAAATTGAAGCCATTTATGGTGAGAGGCCAGTGAGTAATGGCCGGGAGAGTGGCATGGACACAGCCACTCCAGCTCACACTGGACCTCAGGACAACAGTGAGTGAGCACTTATCATAATAATTAATAATATGACCTCCGTTTGTGCTACACTGTTCTATAGTGTGGACAAAATGCTGTGCTAGCTTTGGGTAGCGCTGATGTGCGAACAAAAGGCTAGGCTAACTCCAGGCTAGTTGTGGCATGCCTACTAGCCTTGCTTGCCCATTAACGTCTTCGGTTAGTATTTGTGTTTGTGCATATTAAGTTATTGTTTTCTCATTAAAAAAGACATAACTGGAAATGTGAGCTGATGAGAGCCAGGACGTGCCCTGGTACCAAGTGTACCGATGGGCACCCTTATGTTCGAACATGGTGTTCGTTATGGCCAAACTGCGGCTTGCACAGAAGTCCAATAAGGAAACACCACTCGAGTTCAGATCAGGCGGGCCGTTCCTCCCAATCACACTCCTCCAGGTCAAGCTGTCATTGCCCACGTGAGCATTGAAGTCCCCCAGCAGGACGATGAAGTCCCCTGATGGAGCACTATCTAGCACTCGTCCCAGGGACTCCAAAAAGGGTGTATACTCTGAACTGATATTTGGCCCATAAGAACAAACAACAGTCAGGACCCGTTCACCGACCCGAAGGTGCAGGGAAGCTACCCTCTCGTCCCATGGGGTAAACCCCAACACACAGGCAGAGAGTCTTGGGGCTAACAAAAAGCCAACCCCAGCCCTCCACCTCTCTTCCGGAGCAACTCCAGCTAAGGAGAGTGTCCAACCCCTCTCAAGGACTTGGGTTTCAGAGCCAATGCTATGTGTAGAGGTGAGTCCGTCTATATCTAGCCGGTACCGCTCAACCTCTGCATGGCCGCCATCACCGGATCCCTCAGCTTTTAATTTTTACTATAAACTTTTACTTTAAAAGATAATTTTTTTATCTGTCCTGAAAATAAAGTCATACAAATAAAAATACAACATTTATCATTTTATGTTCAGATTGACAGTAAATAATTAAACACCCTTTTTTTTAAATAGGTAAACACATGATGGAAAATCTGTTTGATTAAAATGAATAAAACTTAATGCAGCATTAATTAAAGCTGCATTAAGTTTTATTAATGATAAATAAATTAATTAATTAATTAATTAATTAATAAACAAACAAACAAATAAACAAACAAACAAATAAATAAATAAATAAATAAATAAATTAATTAGAACTATAACAACAAAGTAAAAAAAAATAATCATGGCCATGGAAACGGAATCTACCAGCATCAGCTTCCTTTGATGATGTCATAAAGGACAAACACACAGCAGACGCACACAGACCTGTATAAAGGGCAAACACACAGCAGACCCACAGACAGCTTCATTTGCACACTGGCTTTAGACCTGAGCACACCTACGATGGCTACTGGTGGACCACACGTGGACAACCTGGAGGTATTTTCAGACATACTTAAAGTTGAATTTGAACAAAAGAATGAGCTTTTACAAAGAGACTTACGAGATCTGGAAGCCAGAAAACTACTTTTTGGTGACCAGAAACGCGACTTTCAACAAATGGTGGATGCGTTTGAGAAAAAGATAGCTTGCATCAGGGAAAGTCTCCGGAAGGAAAAAGATAAACTGGAAACAAAAACACAGGATCTGGAGAAACGAGAACGTCACTTTGAGGATCAACAAAAGAAACTAACGAATCACGTTGATGAACTAAAGACAAACTCTCAGGAAGGAAGAGATCATTTAGTTTCAACTCAGTTTCTCGACGAACACAGAGTAAAGATTGAGCTGGAAGACAGGGAACAGCAGAAACAAGGACAAGAAATTCAGGATGAGTGGAATAAGATTAAAGAAACTCAAATTGCTAATTGTGAGTCGAACGAAAACTTCAATGAGACAAAAGAGGAAGTCGGAGATTTATGGAAAGCTTTACAGGAAAGCAAAGAGAGATCAACAGAAGAAATTAATAACCTGAAAAGAGATCTGGAAAGACAGAAATTAGAGTTTATTGAATTTAAGGAACAAACAGAAAGGGAGTTAACAGCAGAGAAGCAGACTCTCCGCGATGAGAGGGAGCGTTTAAATGCTGGGAAAATGACTCTACAGAACCAGATCGTTGAGTTTGAGCAGAAACAGACCGAATCAGAGCAGATCAGACAGATTCTGCTCAAAGAGAAACTAGATGTTCAACTTCTGAGAGAAAATCTGCAGGAGGACAAAATGGAGTTTGTGGAAACAGCAGAAGAAATCCAGAAAGATTTCAACAAAAGTCTAAACGATTTGAAGGAGAAGCTGGAATTTCTGAGTGTTGAGAAGAGAAGTCTGGAGGAAGAGAAGCAACGTTTCCTGATGACTAAGTCAGAATCAGAGATGGAGCAAGGGAGGATTTACGAAATCCTCCAGGAAGAATTAGACAATTTGCATCTGGGAAAACAAAGTCTGGAAACACAAGTGACGGACTTTAGGGAAGAAATTGCTGCAGCAGGTAAGATCTTAGAAGAGAAGGAAACGGCTCTAGAAGAAGGGCTGGAGGGTCTGAGACTTCAGAGAGAAACTCTGGAGGAAGAAAAGACAAATTTCCTGTTAACAAAGTTCAGATGGGAGGAGGAGAATGAAGAAATACAGGCTTACCTCCAACAAGAGCTGAAAAGATTACGAGCTGGGCAACAGAGTCTAGACAAACAGATGACGGACTCTGAAGAGAGAAACATAAATCCAGAGCCGATCATTCAGGACATCCAACGGGTTCTTCAGGAAGAGAGAGACCGTTTAGTAACGCTCCGACAAAACCTGGAGGAAGAGAAGCAACGTTTCCTGATGACTAAGTCAGAATCAGAGATGGAACAAGGGAGGATTTACGAAATCCTCCAGGAAGAATTAGACAATTTGCATCTGGGAAAACAAAGTCTGGAAACACAAGTGATGGACTTTAGGGAAGAGATTGCTGCAGCAGGTAAGATCTTAGAAGAGAAGGAAACGGCTCTAGAAGAAGGGCTGGAGGGTCTGAGACTTCAGAGAGAAACTCTGGAGGAAGAAAAGACAAATTTCCTGTTAACAAAGTTCAGATGGGAGGAGGAGAATAAGGCAATACAGGCAAAAGAGCTGGAAAAATTCCAAATTAGGCAACAAACTCTCATCAAACAGATGACGGACTCTGAAGAGAGAAACATAAATCCAGAGCCGATCATTCAGGGCATTCAATGGGTTCTTCAGGAAGAAAGAGACTGTTTAGTAATGCTCCCACAAAACCTGGAGGAAGAGGAACTAGAGTTTATGGAAACAAGGGAAGCAGAAAATCATCTTTTAAAGGAGAAACAACGAGCTATGGAAGAAGAGGTTGAACTTTTGACTCAAGAGAAAATTATTTTTGAAGCGAGAATGGACGACACTGATAAAAAAATTGGAAGAATTCTCCAGCTTTTTCAAGAGGACCAGAAACATTTAGATCAGATCAGGCAGGAGCTGAAAGAGCAACCACAAGCGTTGGAACTGAACGCGGCATCTTTAAACGTGGAAGACGAGCAGCCACCTGTGGAGGACGGGTCAGACAGTCCCACAGCTGCGTCTGAAGATCTGGGGGAACGGAGTTTAGAAAAAACAAAGACAAATTCAGAAGAGGAGCATAAAGAAAAGCATGAATGCTTCCTAGATGAGTTCCAGTATTTAGAAGCTGGGAATCAGAGTTTAGAAGAACAGAAGATGGACTCTCAAGAGAACGAAAAAGATTCAGCCCAGATTCTTCAGGAGGCACAAACTCTGGCTGACCATGTCTTGGGAACTGAATACTCGTTAGGTACCCAGTACCTTGGTACCCAGCAGGGGGTTAGAGGGCACTTGTTACTTGGTACCCAATACAGGGGCCCTGGCTACGCAGCATGTCCTCATAATGATGAAACACAAACGATGGAACTGAGGGAAGAAATGCAGAAAGCATCTTTAAACGTGGAAGACGAGCAGCCACCTGTGGAGGACGAGTCAGACAGTCCCACAGCTGCGTCTGAAGATCTGGGGGAACGGAGTTTAGAAAAAACTGTGAGTACCCAGGTACCCAGTGACGGGTACCCAACTGTTCCCGGTCTTCATGATGATAACGATGAGCTTCCAGAGAACCCCGGGCCTGTCCATGGGAGCGCTGAAGAAGCCTGGGAGGCTGAAGAGCCAAGGCCTTCTACATCTGGCCTAGGATCCAGCTGGGACCAATCCGACTTCTACTGGAGATGTCTTCTTCCAGAACACCAATGAAGATCAGAAAAGCATATACAAGTGAAGTAGGGAGCTTGGGAGGGGCTTAGATGTTTTAAAACTAGGAAACAGAGAATTTTAATCAGGAAAATGTAAAATTTTCAGAGAGAAGAAACTGAATGGGTGAGAGTAGACACTGCAAACCTGCAGGAACAGGACATGCAGGCGGAGGAAATAATACGAGCAGCCAATCTAAATTTAGTAAATAGTAACACACAGTAACACGAGGGATTAAACAAAGGCTCAAAGTTTTGAAGAGCAGAAAATTAACCTGAAGTTCTCCAAGAGCTTCTGCAGGAGGAAACAGGAATGGGTGAAATATTTTAGCTCTAACAATTACGCTTACCAGAGCTTCTAGTTTACGTAGACTAAGAGTCAACACCTTAGATGGGTTGGCTCTTGATTTAAAATGCCACGACGTTAAAGAAGTTTTATACTATGTGTCTAGGATGTAGCTTCTTCCACCACCAGTTACTAAAACACAAATGAAAAAAGAAAAAAAAACGCAGCACAGGTGAGATCTCAACAGATCTAATCATTTGTGTCTCCGTGTGCTGCGTGGGGGTTTTCTCTGGGTGCTCCAGTTCACCCCCGACACAAAATCCTAAAATCCTGGCACGTTAAGCCTAATTATACTTCTCCGTCATCGCCACGAGGGAGAGGCACGCTCGCACAGACGGAGACAGTTTGCCCTCTGACTTCTCCGTCTCCTGGGGAGTGTTGCAAAGCAATTCCCCGCCTGGACATTTAACCCTCTCAGGCTCAAAATAAGTTTTGATAAAAGGACGAACAACTAAGTCCTTCAGGGGTCCTTCTGAGTTAAAAATGCTCTTGAAACACGTGTGTGGAGGAACCAGGTAGGTACTTCTCTGCATGGACTTCATGACCCAATACATGCAATGCATGCTAAAGACAAAGCAGGCTTCTCCTATGGTTGGATGGTATTTCAGCTCTCGTTCTGATGACTTAGGTTTGGGGTAAAATAAAGGTGAATTTATGTTCTAAACATAGATTATATGTGTTTTAGAACATCGTGTGTTTGACGGCGCCTGTTCAGAGTCATAAATCATTTATTAGCTGATAGATGAAATTCTGCATCCCTGACATAAATCTAGGGAGGACCCCCGAGACCCCAACAACTCAAAAAAATCAACATCAATTATGATAACGTACATGTATATTATCACTAAAGTACATATACAAATTAGTGATCCTCTATATCTGGAAAAAATGTTTTCTTTATATAATTTCTTAAAGGCCCAGTGTGTGATATTTTTGCTTGTTTACTATCATCCTGTGTTTCCAGTTCACAAACGTGTCCTTTTTCACTAACATTTCTCATCAACGTCAAGTCTAAATATTCCTCTCAACTTGCAATTATACATTTTTATATACATAAACTGTGGTTGACCCTCCATGGTCATCCACCATCTTAAAGTACAGTAGCGGTTTAGGGACATAGGAGCTCCACGTTACCCGTTTGGACTATGACTGTAACCTGACCAAACCAGCAGAGGGCAGCAGTGAGCCCTGGCAGCATGGAGTCTGATAATTCAACTAAGAAATAGAAACGAATAGCTACACCGTTGCTGTACTTGTTAGTTTGAATAAAAAAACTATTAAATAAAAAGACACAAATTTTGTCAGCTCCTCATGTCCAACACAAGAAAGCCGCATATGTTCAGACCCTCGCCTGCTATTAGCTAGACACTAGCCTCCGATTAGTTTCCCTGACTCCCAAACTCACCTCAAGTTGTTCATTGGTCTTTTCCTAGTACCAGAACTCCCGATCCGGTCCCAACATGTCAGTACCAGAACTCCTGACCCGGTCCCAATGTGTCCGTTCCAAAGTACTCAAGTCGCCTCTCTTCTTACAGTAGGGCTGCAACTAATGATTATTTTCATAATCGATTAATCTGTCGATTATTTTTTCAATTAATCGATTAATCTGTTTGTTATTGTTTAGCTGTTTAACCTATACAAGTGATGAATACATTTCAGTTAAGAAAAAGAAAAACATAAGAGAATTGTGCAGTTGACTGCAATCTATTTTATTGCACATGAACACAGTCAGTGGTGTAAAATGAGCTAAACAGTGCAAAATATCAGTCCAGAATAATTTTTTGGCATCAAAATATAAGAGGTAAATTCCATAAAAAATAATGTAGAATTGCTGGAGGGTGAGTGTCTTGTTCCCCATGTAGTTGTCCATCGTTGCTTGTTTTTTTCTGCATAAGAAACACAAATAGACTGAAATAAGTACACAATTAAAATAAAGCAGCACACACACTACAACACTAAATCAATATTATATTATTTGAATTAATTAACAATATACAGTGATCATTTATTTTGACAAAAATGTGTTGTGAGGTGTTTTAGTGTTAGATAGTAAAACAGCCTTTTAATAGTAAAAAAAAAAGGACTTTCTGAATTTCTCCTGTATTTAAAAATTGAAAGCGTACAACTATGCTGCGTTATATTCACCTGGACACAGCTCGTCTGTATATTTTTCTCTGCGGAGTTGTCCTTTTTTGAATGAGGAACATAGTTATGGGTTTTGTGCCGTTTTTCTCTTAACGAGAACATTCTTATAAACAGACGTGCTAAATTTGGCAAGCGTGACGGCTTCCTTCTTTCTGTCCGTCCAGGGTTATTGGAGTTGCCTCAAATCACCGCACACATACAATCAGGCCACAGACACAGGACTGTCCTTAAGAGCTTTTTACTGGCAGGATCTGATGTAAAAACAAGCACACAATAATTCATCAGTGTGTGTGCGCTGCAACTGCATACAACGGTCTCCACCAGCTTTCATTACTGCTTTTTTTTCCATCATGTGATTGTATAGTGACATTTAATAACAACAGCAATATATTAATTTAACAACTTGCATTTCAGAGCAATACATACTTTCTTTTTGATAAAACATATAAAATAGTTAATAGTACCAACAATGACAGCGCAGCCGCCGACAGTTGAAACAGTTAACTGCCATCAGTAGGTATAACAGTCAACTGCCACCGGCAGTTGAAACAATAAAACATTTACAAATCATATTTTAACCAAACACATCTGAACGTACCTGATGTAAAAACAAGCACACAATAATTCATCAGTGTGTGTGCGCTGCAACTGCATACAACGGTCTGTTCAAGGCAAAAAGAAAAACCCAAACATTACTAAAAGGACTGAAAAGCTAGCTTCCATTAGTGTGAATCTCGGCTATAAAGTTATTAATTTAATGCCAACACAGCTAACCTTTTTCAAAATATGCTCTAACAACACTTAAATATCTGTAACAAGTCCTATTGATATATTAATTAAAGGTTAAAATGACTTTAAGTGCAGAGCGGCTTCACAGTACACCTACCTCCACCAGCTTTCATTACTGCTTTGGTGGGAGGGGCCGTGAATGCGCCTGAAGGACCCGTTGCGTGCAGTTGCGCCTAACCACCAGTAGGCGGCTCCAAAAACAAACAATCACTGCACATCACTTTTGGTGAAATTCACATTTTCATCTCTGTTACACCCACCCCTGCTGAATTTCAGCCAAAATTATTAAAGTGCAAATACCATCACCATGACACAAAACCTCACATTACTCAACATAGGTGTACACAGTTCAACTTAAACAGTATCCTCTATAAAGGATGAAGTGGCAAGGAAATGGCGCCCTATTCCCTACCAGCTCCTGGAAGCAGGATGCAGCCTACATCCTACATAACCCACGTGTAAAACAAAAAGAAGCCCCTAACCCAGGACTAGTACTAAGTTATGGTGATATATCTATTATAAAATACAAAACACAGAACAAAGAACAAGATACAACTTGTTTAGAAAAGGGCATATTATTATACATGCCTCTACTGAAACCTTTGAAAAACTGAATTAGAAACTGTCCATAAGCTGACTAGCATCGTCACTAATAGCCATGTTGGTCATCACCTGAATCAGCCTATTGACAGGCTTGACTGTCCTACCAACACGGGTTCTGACTGTGTGGACTGAGTCAGTGCCAATAGCAGACTGAGCAACCAGTGAAGTGTGTGAGAGAACACTCTGTCTATCAGCAGAGGGAACTCTTCAGCCTTCAGAGAGTACAGACGCTTTTTTCTCAGCTCCCTTATCGGCTTCCCCAAGGCTCTTGTCCTGTCTGCCTACAGAGCACTTCTCTGCATTTCTCCTGAAACCACTACTCAACACACCCCCACAAAAGGAGGAATGCCGACAGATGCTGTGTCCCGACCTTCACCCTCTCCCTTCAGGCTATATCTGCAGGGACCTCAATGTGCTCTCTGTTCCTTATCTCTCCCTCCCACCTGTTGTTCTGCAGCTGGTCGATGCGCCGCAGTGGCAGCTCCCATTGGAGGCTTCAGGATCCCGCCCACCCCCACCTCCCCATTGGACTCTGATGTTGTACACGTGCTGTCTGTGCTTCCATGTCGGGTGTTTTTTTGCATTGGAGTGCTACACCCTGCTGGTGTAACCCTGTTAATGCCTTTTTTTCCCCTCCCTGAACTTTCCTCATGTAACACCCTTTTCATCTAACTATTAAGGTAACGCGACTCATGTTGCGAATGACCGCAGTCACCAATTCTTGTTATGTGTCTTACCCACGTATGTCTGATCTTTGAATTGTGTGTGCTGAAACTGAATTTCATTTCTCTGTATGTCCTGCACATGTGAAGAATATGACAATAAATGACTCTTGACTCTTGACTCTTGACTCTTGGGATAAGGGTCATAGCCCGTCACACTAGGGGACAACAGAAGCCCCTCGTCTCTCTCCACTGCAGAGACCATCTCGCTGACGGAGTCGTTCATGTGAGCAGCATTACGGGATGCATCAGGTAAGGAGCTGACCCACTCTTGGGTTCTGATTCTTGAATCATTCTTTTCAACAACCGGTTCCGATGTATCTGATGCAGTAGTAACATCAGATCCATCAGGTAAAAGGGCAGAAGAGTCGACAGACTGACTGGCTGTATCAAAGGGCAAGAAATTCACAAGCATCAAGAGGTTACGATGCACAACTCTGACCTGACCAGTGTTGGGATGCTGTATCTGATATGTGTGGGTTGTAGGATTCATGCCCACGACAGTAAACACTGTAGACTCCCAGCGGTCAGCAGTTTTACGCTTCCCTCTCTCCCGTTTGTTCGAGACTAGGACACGGTCTCCGACACCAATAGGTTTTCCTTTTGTGCGGCGGTTGTAGAGGCAGGCCTGCCGTT